TTAAATTAACACTGGGATAACAGTCGTGGTTGGAAAACCCACAGACTAGCTTTTTATGTCATCTTTGATGAACATACCTGATCACCCACTGTCAAAAATATCACCCACTGTTCAAATAGGAGAGGAAAGGTTGAAGGTCCGTAGGCCGAGAAACAAAACGTAGTTCGACTGGGAAAGACAGTTCGCACAGTCGCCATGGTTGGGTACGGGTCCATTCGTCCTCAATACCCAACCTGGACAAACCATCAGAAGGGTTACTGGCGGAGTCGATCCATTCGATCCAGGGTCGAATCTGACGTTTCTGGAAAATCAAATGAGCTAACTGGACAATGGCATGAACGTCCTCTTGTCCACTGGAACCTTTAATTAATGAGGAAACAGCAGCCCCATTATCAACGAACCAGAGGAGATCACGACCGGCTAGGAGATCACCGTGGACCCACGGTACGAGGAGTCCACAAAGTGTTTCGCCGGGGTAGATCTGTTGGTGACGTTCAATCCATGAATCAGTCACCTCGGATGGTACCAGGCATGATACTCCCAAAGGAGGCGATGTCATGAGTACCCATCCCACCCGTAAGGTGCCATTTTCAAAAGATGCATCAGAATAGATCACCAGGGGGGGTTTGGTGGCTGAGCACACCTCAATATCCCGGGGCCTGGCTTCTTGAAGCATGATGCTGAGGAGGTGTAAAGTAGTGACCTCGGAGTCTGCTAATTCAGAAGTGGCAGCGTGCTGTTTGGCGGCCAACACTGGCCCTGCGAAGCGGCCAGCGTGTCCTGCGCACATGCTGAATAGCCAGTTGAGGTCGCCACGAAGCTTCCCCGCATCATCTGGTCGAAGGTGTCGGGTGGCTATAGCCTCGTGGAGCTTGGCTTGGACCTTCCTTGTAGTGGAGGTCTTTGGTTGGAATCTAATGACTCCTAACCAGCCAAAGTCTCCTACGTGGACTGAGGTCCCGAGGCAATGTCTATTGGGAGCCGGCACAAAACTTTTGGAACTCTGAGGCGGTGCTCCCAACAGTCTGAAAACCAGCTGGAGGCTCCGTTGGGAGACATCGCTGTCGCGAATGCACTCCACCGATAGTTCGTCGTCAAAGTATGCAGCGGAGCACCCTAAGAGACATCTACGGGCGATGGCAATACCAAGTTGCGGGAAGCGATTGAAATTCACCACCGCGCTCTTTAGACCGTAAGCTAGACCCCACATACATGTGAATCTCCAGCCCAATGAAGGAACGAAAATCGCAACATTAGAGAGAATGGAAGATGGGAGTCAGCAACGGGCAGGCCCCGGTAAGCGTCAGGAAGATCATCCGTGCCCAGACGGATGTCAAGCCACTCTGGAGGTGAACCGACCGGAAAGGGCATTTCAGAATGCAGCATACGGGCTACTGAAGCACAGAAGTCAACATTGACAGTTGAGATCGTTTCGTGCATTGTTGTATGGGCATTATGACCACTTTTCCGAGCGTTGTCAATGGCCCGTTTCTTCCCATCCGGTTGGATGATGAGGAAACGTTCCACGAACCTCCACCCCCCAACACCGAACAGATCATCCATTTCCCGTGCTGTGCGCAAAGGAGAGCAAAACTCTTTTTCAATCTCTTCGTTAGTCAGGTCCAGGATGTCTTGGACATGCTCCGGAGGGCTTGCACGAAGGAGGCGATCGAGGTCAGCCTCCGCTGCCGTCCCCAACCACTGGTCCAGGGGTAGTTTTCCGTCCTGGACAATGGGTCGAAAGACACCTGAGTGCTCCATGTCGCCCACAATGTCGAAGCCCAGAACCAGGGATCTTGCGAGCGTCTTGTCCGGCCATCGCAACAAGGCAACCATGGTGGCTACAAAGGCTGGTCTTTTTCCCATCGCCACTTTCCGAGCACTCTGGCATCGGAAGGGGTTCAGTGCATCTTCCAGGGGGGTCACCGCCCGCGCCACCGTGGAAAGGACATGGCGCAGCTTCTCTGCCCAGCGAGGGAGAGCTTGTCTCCAGGTTGCCACAGCCTGGATGACGAAGGTCATGTCTGGCTCAGGCCAGGGGCGGGGGGCAAACGGTGAGGGCAGTTCCAAGGCAGCTGCAATATGCTCATGCTTGCCCATGCCCGGAGGGAGGAGGTGATCAAGTCCTTTGGCCGCATTGCTGGCGTATCTTTGGCCCGTGAGACCAGCGTAGATGGCTGCGCGTTCTCGGCCCCAAACCGGTGTAGGGCCCAAAAGGGACCATGACTCTTGCCGGAGGCGGCGCCACATCGGGTAAGCTTGTAGCGTGGACAGCTCACATGCTGCCAGCCGCCGGGACACCTCTGGCCAGACAGAGCATCACTGGGTTCCAGAGTAGCCTCCACGATGAGGGCATACTTGGATCTGAAGTCACGGTTGAGCTGCTCCATGGTGGATTCCGGGAGTGGGTCATCCACCCCCTCGGATGACTTAGCGGCCTGGGCTGCTTGCTTGATGGCCTCCGCCCCTGCTGAGTAGGCCGCACGCAGGCGAGCCTGTGCCAACCGATTTTCCTTGAAGGTTGTAGGCGCCAGCAGTGACTGGATGGCCACCGTGACGTCCTTTTCGTCCACGGAGAAAATGAAGTCCTCCAAGGTCTCCCATTTATGTGCACGGATCACGGCGTCGGCCCACTCCGGGAGGACGTTGGAGCCGCTGAGACAAGCAGCCAAGCCACGGTCGTCTTGGAGAGTATCAATCTGGTGTCCACGGCTCATGGCAGGGCTCCGAGGGTCTACCTAGCAGGTGCTGGGAAAACCCAGAGCACACTGGGCCACTCAGGGGCGCTGTACCCGGATATCGAGCGAGTGAAAAAAACGGGTGCTGTTACGCTGTTGAGTAGGTTGGGCCATGGTTGCGGTGTCGAAGACACATCACAAACACAACCCTGTTGCCCTCTCTCTCACCCTCTCCCTCCCAAGAGGGGGGCGGTGGACTAAGGGGGGCTGCCCAAACACAAAAGCAAAACCCTCGATCGACGCCGGCCGGCGGGTCCCCGTGGTCCCGGAGCACAGGCGACGATCCAAGAATCACCTTGTCACCGACCCAAAACCCGACCCCACCCCGCACACACGTCGACGAGGTTGTATGAACGAACGATGGACTCCAGCCGGGCGGACTGAGGCATCTTTTTCATACCACACGCGGGGGTGTACTAGTTTAGCCACCCGCAATGCCGCGCCAATGCCCGGTACAATCCCCTGGGCATGCGAGCCAAACATCGTTGACAAAATCGCTGGCGCGATACTAAGGAGAAGCCCTCTCCTGTCGATCTGGGATCCTGGGAGAAAGGGGCGTCGCGGCACCAAGGCAGCAAACGTCCATCCAATTCCCCTCGGATGATATGAACCTTGGCCCCTTGCACCATCCAATGCGTGGACACGGCCACGTCATCGTCTAACAGAGCGCCCTCCAGATCGCTGGCTTCATTGGACACATCGGAGGCTGATTCCGAGGAATTTGAGGAGGTGTCCGTGACGGATTCGTTGTCGGCTGCTTCCGGTTCCGGTTCCAGCCCATTGTCCACCGGCAACGGGAGGTCTTGCACATCCGCTGAGCCCCTGGCGGTGGCATCATCCGTAGGAAGGTCGTGCACGATCTCGACCGGTGGTGGTGCCGGGAGCTCCGTCCCAAGGTCACCCATGCGTTCGTTCTGGGCAGCAAATTCCGCCCAGGTCCAACTGTCGCGGGGGTGTAGACCCTCATCGGTCAAAGCCAATTCCGCCTTCTTGGCATGGTAAAGGCTCATGAAGCGCTTCAGCAATGCCCTCTTCACCTGGGCTGAGTGGAGGGCCCGTTGGCCGCTGTAATGGATCCCCATAGTCCAGGTGGCCCGCGATTTCTGGTTGGGGATGGGCCCACCGCCAGTGGGAATCTCAACCCAATTGCCAATGGCCTGTTGGTCCGATGGGGTCAGACGGACCACATTCCCAAGCGTGGGGAGGAACCGTCGCAAACGGTTAAATCCCGCAGTCTGGGCTTGGTCAGGAGCCGTGCCCAGGTCGAGGAGGGTGCCACGCAGCAACTCCAAAAATCGTCCTCTGGGCAACTTGCGATCCAAGGCCGAAGGCGTGTGTTCCGTGACCTGCCACAGGTCCATTGGGTCCAGCTGCAATGCCGGCCATAAGTACTTGCACCCTGGCAGGAGCTCCATGGTGACAAAGTCCTGGATGACCTTGACCAAGCTGAATCCGGACCATGGGATGTCAGGCATGGCCCATTGGAAGGCAGGCCGGGCCCCCTGGCGCCGCGCCTTGCCCTGCGAGCAAGTGAAAAACAAAGCATTGGCAGCCAGGTGGTCAAACTTAGACCGTTGGATATGCTCGAATCTGATGCAGGACACGGCCGCCCACAACATGAATGCCAGCACCAATGTGTTGGTGCCGGAACTTTGGCGAAGCTTCAGGATCATGTTAATGAACTCCCATGGTTGCAGTTCGAGCTTCTGTTGCGAGGTGTGTCCCACAGGAAGCAGTTTGTAGCCTCGCACCATCCAGTGGTCCAGCGGGAATTGAACCCCGAACTGTGACCTGAACCAGTTGAGGGCGTGGAACATGGCCGATGCTGCTGTGGGACCACCGCGTGCGACCTCCTTGAGGAAGGTGCTCAACTGTAGAGGGGAGGGTTGCCGCACGTCAAACCCCAACCTGAGAGCGAAGGTGCTCGCCAGAGCTCCCAAGCGATGCACTGATAGCCTGTCAGCAGCCGGCATGACAGACTCCTTGAGGAGTTGCATCCTGGTGGCGTCTTGAAGCTGGGTTCGGGAGACCCCCAATTCCTCCATGCAGGTCAAGGAAGTCCTGTAGGAGAAGCTCGAACAAAGTTTGTGTTTTGGCCATCTTGGCGGCTTGTTCTTTCACATACGCCACGTAGCGTTCGTGACCTTGGTCCCACGAAATGCCCTGTGTGGTGCACTTGTCACACACTCGCTTCTCGCTGTCACACTGGTGACAGATGGCCCCAAAGGTTCGCCGCCTCGTCCACAGCGGCTGTAACAACCCTCGCACCAGGACGTGGTCCACTGGGCACACGTCCGGCACCAGTCAGCCGGGATGTCGGGCGCTCTGTAGACCTGGTGCCACTGGGACTCGATGTAGGCACCGCGAGCGGCCAGGGAGGCTAGCCGCTCCTCCCTGGGAAGCACGCTAGCCTCCCGGCCCCGATTGCCCCGCCTCCACCGCCGTGCCACCACCCTCCACGTCGTGAGCTCAGTGGAGAGGATGGTAGGCATGGCAGAGAAAAAGGAGGGGAGCCCCCAATCTTGAGCCAAAATGGCATCCAAGATTGAGGATCCCCGCTATATGTTTCACATCTCAATATGTCCCTACCCAACCAACCATTCATATTGATTGATAAGAACAAAGCGGAGCACCTGAAATGCAGTGCGGCCTGCTGAGACTGAGACAGGAGTGTCGCTAGCTATAGAAACAAGCTGAAGCGGTTGATGCTAAATGGAACTTACCCTAGAAGTTTCTTGATGAGAGGAGATGGCAGGACAGCGGGGCAAATAAGACAATGCAACTCAAGTGAGATGTGACGGCACACGAGGTGATATGCTGTAAAGTCCGGAAAGTTTAAGGCAAACTATGTAGCGATGAAACGAGAGACCTAAATTGTGAGGACAATGGAAAGGACTGGTGGCATGCAGCATAACCTCTTATATACATCAAATGAATCAAGTCTGAAGCGATTCCAAGTCAGGTAGCCTAGTTTTTCTTGAGTTCAAGCACTCACAAATTCAATAATTCCACCGTTCTTGTGCCTCTGCGACCAAAGCCCAGCCAGAATAAGAATTCAAGACTGTGATGCACACTGGCCTTGGCAGACTCTTCGAACGCAAACGGAAGTATGCAAAAATCCAATAAACAACGGGTATCGGTATATAGAAACAGATTCAACACTGCGGAGACATGGAGGTAAATGTCCCCAATCAGCTTGCCTAGCTAAGCTGGAAAGCCTAGTGGCATGTCACCGCCACCAACACTGGCCACCAAATGCAGGCCCATGAGGCAAGCCAAAGCTGCCACAAACCAAAGAATGAGGGTGCCATGCTCACAACCTGCAAGAGAGAAACTGAAAGAAAAACAATTTTTTAATAGTTGCGAGTCTTTGTGTTGAGAGGGCTTGGTTCAAACGTCTTCAACTGATTCTTGAGAACAAAGTTTGGGCTCCGCGGCCTTCTTGGAGAAATAAGTACATGCTAAGAATGAAGAGCCCAAGACCTCCCAAGTTCAGGAAGTTCTTCCCGGGCAAGGACAGCTCCTTGGAACCTTGGAATCCACAGGTACAAGTATCATGCCGGCGATGTGCGCATTTGCACCATCACTTAAGACTTAGAGCTTCTAAGACAAGCAATTGGTCAGAGATTCAAAACATTGCATTACATCCATATAACTTTGACTTGCGGCTTTGTGTTTTTCGCGCTACATATGTGGATTCAATGTGAATGTGATGCAAGCATTTTCACATACACTGCTTACATGCAGTACATCTTTTTTACATATTCTCCCATGGCATCTCAATGATTCCACAAATGAAAAAACAAGGACGCTGTACGGCTACGGCTGACTTGGTGCTGGCACTCTCTGGTCGTTACGAAGCTGAGTGTGTCCAGCCCTCGAGCCACGCTTTGGTGGATCTTTACAAATGGGCACAACCACAGAATCGCAACCTATACAATGACCTTTACAATGAAGCCGCACACTTTCGGCATTTTGGTATGCATTGCATGCTCGACAGCCTTCGGCCGTGCATGCACAAAATCATCCACAAACAAGTCCTGCTGCTTGCCTGTCGAGAGTCCGCAGCGCAGTTAAGGTTCCACGCTGACATCAGCACAGTTGTCTCGCGTTTGCGAGCTTGCCGGCTTGGAAGTGGTGACAACATGCTCGAATGCAGCGAGAAAGAAGGCAACAAAGCATAAAGGCAAAGTCAAAGTTGCAGGAAAATAGCCGTTTGATGCTGCGACCACCAATCGCAAACCAACATAGACTGCTGTTGCTGCGGTAGATCCACAAAAAGCCAAAAGAGCCACCAAAGAATACCCCAGTGGCTGGAAGTGGAGAGAGATCCATAGCGCAATCAAGGCACCGTTGTAACCAAACCAGCCGTCTCGAATTTCTGTTGGACTTGCACCGCAAAATGCGCCCAGCAAAGCACCGATGAAGGAGCCCAATAGGGATGTTAGGGCTGAAAACGGGCTGGCTATGAGTATGCCGGAGAGTATCAGGAGTCCAGAGAATGGGCTGGTGACAAAAAACATCTGCGCAATTCCATTCAAGGTCGCCGTTGCACAATCCAAGCCATCCAGCACAACAAAGTCACTGCTCCAAGTGAAAATGTGCTTAGCATCATGACCCTGACCGCTCCAAATGCGCAAGCAAAGCATTGCCATTAAAGCGACCACGTTAAAGGCCAAAGTAAGCTGTGGTTTCATCACTTTGCTCAATCCAGCAGCCACGAGGGCTGAGATGCCGGCACAGCCGAAAGTCATTGGGATGCTGAGGAGAAAGTTTTGAATGTAAACTGCAAAACTGCAGCCAACAAGTACGCCGTTGTAGCCCAGCAAGCCTTCTCTCTGTGCCTGCTTATCCAATCCCAAGCAAGCAGCAACACCGGTGGCAGAGGCACAGCCAAGAACAGACAAAATAATTGCAGCTCGTGGCATCCCAATAAGGACTGCCAGCACGAAAATGGCTCCAGATACTGAGTTTGTGACGAAGCACACTTGAGACATGCCATTGAGTACATCCACTAGAAAGCGAGGAATCAAGGAGGTCCCAGTTCCAGTATTGGATCCATTTGCATCAGCACTTGCATCGTCGTCCACATCTGCATCTTGTGCGGTCCCGAGCAGCCATGCACAAAGTCGAGAGCATTGCATTGGTCCCAGTGCACAACAGTTGAAAGAGCACTGGGAGCACCGTTTGGAGCTCTCAACTTCGTCTTCGCTGTCACTGAGGCTTTCTGCGCTTCCCTCGGTTGCAGTGCTCTCAGCACTCGGGCTTTCTCTGCTGCGTCTGACAGCCGCCTCAGCGTCCCTCATTGAAATCGAGCTTTCCAAATTCCTTTGAAACTTCTGATATCCTGTGGAATCTGTGGAAGCCAAATTGGAACCTTTCAAATTGTCTTCTTTTTTAATTTCTCTTGCTTGACCTGGCGTCACTTGATCAAATTCATCCATGCCAGCGTCACTGCTCGTTGAGCGCTGGCCAGGGTGAGGCTTAGAGCACTGGGCACAGCGGAACAGCAAGCACTAAAACTATCTTTGAGTCTCAATAGAATGTGAAAAATTGCAAGTAATTCACATCAGCGTCCAGTATCTGAGTTTCCTGCTGAGATTTCCATTCAGCTTGCCAAAGGCAATCAAGCTGCCAGTCAATGTAATGCCTCCAATGAAATCTCCCAGAATGCAAGAAGTGTTCTCCATCGTGGCCTTGGGATAGCACAGTGAGAGTACAAAACAAAGCACTTTTTCGGGACCTTCCTGTTTGTGATGTGTTTCCTCTTTGCTGCCAAGTGGCACCTGGAAAAGGGCCTGAGCTTGGAATCTTGCGACAAGTAAGGTGCTCTCAAAATTCTTAGTGCTCATGGTGCTCTCTTTGAGCAAAAGTTGCCAAGAAACTGCTCACGAAAGATCCGATGGATGTGCAAGTAGCGGCCAAACCCACCAAAGAGTGGAAAGCGGCCACTGTTTGCGGCAAAGCAATAGGACTCACCTTGAAACCCATGACCACACCTGGCAACTTTGAAGAGGTGTAGTCTCACGTAGAGTGTAGGGCTACAGTAAATGCTACTGCCGGCTTCATATTGCTGCCCTGCCTCCAACACCACCGATCACGAGGAGCACGGCACTGAAGACAAGGTTAGCCTGTCAAAACTAATCCTTTATTTTAAGCTTTGTGAAACAAAAGAGGGCTTCGCAACTCCAAAGCGGTCCAAACCTCAGATAGACCAACCATTGTCGCGGCCATGGCTCCAAAAACGCCAACCATACCTCCAAGCGCAAGTACGCTTCCACTAGCTCCAAAGACCCAAATCGAAATATCAAGTTCAAACCCAAAGACACAAAAGTTTCGTGCTTCAGGAACCAGGTCGCCAAATTTGCATCCAGCGTTGGCAGTAGACATAGTTGCCAAACCACCGATTGCAGCTACGCAAAGCAGGGCCGATACTGTGCTGACTGCCTGCACTAAAATGGACGGAAAGCTTGCCAAGATACCGTTGAGGCTGGATGTTCATGTTTTGTTTTGTGTGTGTGTTCAGAATGAATAACAAAGCGTCTCCTTCAGTAGCTCTGGTCGCGTCAGAGAGACAAAGAGGAACACGAGTCCGGGGAACAACATCATTCCTTCACAAGGTCGGGCTGATCTGCCCTCTACTCTACTTAAGTGACTGACAAACGTGCCCCGGATGCAAAACAGTTGCAAATGCTTCAGCTAGGAGTGTGGTGTGTTCGTCATCGCACTTCCAATTTCTTCAGGCATGTCCAGTCCTGTGAAATCCTTGTCACCGGGCTTCTTGAACAAATCCAACATACGCTGGGACACCACAAAGCCGCCAAAAATGTTGACCTAACAGAAAAACATATACCAGGGAGTCCTGTATTTGACAACTAGGCTCAGCTTGAAACTGTGCAAGTTAACTAAGTGAGTCCTTAAGAGACAAACCCAAATGAAAATCACTCACCGGATGTTCAACTCCGCTGTAAAAAGGACCGCGCTGTGGATAGGGGGCTGTGCCTAAGGCTCCTGCCGAAGAAACAAGCAAAGCCAGGGCTGCCAATTGGTAGGCTGCGTACGAGTCTGTCTTTTCCATCAAGAGCAAGCCACCAATTGCCTTTACTGAAAATATAGAAAACCAAGATGTCTTGAAAGCTCTCTAGCTCTCATCTCCCGTCTCCAGGTTCCAACCAGAAATGGTGTGCGCGCAGCAACACGCAGGGCACAATTATTGTGAAGGCTCAAATTCAGTGCCTAAAGGCCTGACAGAAAAAGCATCTGCCAGAACGTCACAACCATTTCATTCTGCTGGCAAGAATGATCAGGGCCGAGGATCTGTGCAGCCAGAAATGGCATTCGTCACCGACATCAATGGTGTGTGCAAAGCGTGTGCAACACCCCAAACTGCCTGGTAGCCTGAGCAAGAGTTTTATTGGTGTCGAGGTGTTGAAACTTTGCTGCTCCATTGCGAGGCCTGCAGCACCAGCCAACAAGAAGGTCGTGAGCAAAGAGGTCTTGACTCCTTCGCCCATCGCCAGCATGCAGCAGACTCCGAAGGTCAGCACAAGAGCACCGACCAACGCAGCCTTGCGCACGCGAGATCGTCCAGCTATAGTCCAGCTAGTCACGAGTCGAGTTTGGAAATCCCGCGGACATCAACCTCCGGAGCTTAAGCTTGAGTGGTTTACTTGAGCGTCAAGAAGAGCACAAAAAGAGCCCAAGACTATATAGTAGTAACCCATTTGTTGATAGTAGCTTCTTGTTACTAGTAGTAATGGCCTCCAACCTAATAGCGATGGCCTCCAACCTAGTAGCCTCTAGCCCACAGGACATTTGTTTAACATTAGAGCTGCTGTGTAGACTTTTGCATGTAACTGACGTCACGGCTTATATATAACCCATACTATCATATAACTGCTTGGCTGACCTCTCATCCGGTCGGAACGCTGGTCTATGCTATTTGACCACAAAGAGTCGTGATAAACACCTCCCGAGCACACTATAAGCTTCGGCTCTCCAATATATAAGCCAAAGGCCTTGGTGGCCAATCTTAGGTTTGTGGTCGAAAAAACAAATCGATTCTTTCTATAGGATATGCAGCATGTATGAATGCAGGTGCAAAAATGTTTGCACCGGCTGAGCAAACAAATTCCATATGCATCAAAACACCGCTCTGCCATAAGGGGTTCATTTGCCGATACCAAATCCGCCCGCACCGAAGGTGCTGAGGCGTTCTTTTTAAGGCACGCATTATACCGCAAGTACCGCAAGTACTAAATAGCTTTAGCTAGGGGGGGGCCATTTTCGCTCTAGAATCCTGTGTTTTTCACGTTTTTGGAACCGGCTTAAAGTGCTGGAAGATAAATTCGTGCTAATTTTTGCTATCTTGAAGCCTTTAGTGATGCAAGAAATGCAATTTTCTGCTTCGCATCATCTGCATCATCTGAGCGGTAGAGTGTAATTGGACTGAGGCCGGACATTTGGCTGAACAGGTGCCCCTAACGGGGCTCAACATAGCTTCCATATTGCGTAACATAGCCCTAGAAGTCACTATCTAACGGACGTGTCTGCGAGATAGGGACTTGAACGTCCGGGTACGTGGCTGGTCAGGAGCAGAGATAAGGAAAGATAAGGTCCAGGAATGGTGGTCAGAACCACTCACGAGCAAGCTCCCATATGGTCGAACATAACCCCAGAAGTCACTACTTGAGCGGGGAAACACGAAAGGTAGAGACGGACCGGGTAGCTGTCGGGACCTTTTCTGGTGAGGGACTGACTCCGGTGTTTCAGGAACGTGCCCCTTGGTTAATCATGGATGAAACCAACAAAGCCAGAGAGCACAAGAAGGCTCAAGAGGAACACCGTTGCGGTCAGATTGCGCCACACGGCTCTGCAGAGAGGCTGCGTTGCGTCGACGCTCGTTTGTGTAAAGGTGTGTGAAAACAGGCGCGCGTAAAAGTCGCGATGCGTAAACGCTCGCATGTGTACCAGCTATGGTCCTACAGCTGCACGCACTGTGTCAGGATTACAGGCCTGCACGCGTTGCGTCGAAGCCGCAGTGACCAACCCCCTTGTAAGGGTAGTGCTGGAGGGGTGCGGCCGGTACTGCCAGGGATGAACGTACGCTATGGTGGGTGTGCTCCACGATGCGGTAAGATTTCGCCACGCTAGGGTATAAGGCTGAGTCGAATGGCGTTCCGCGACGTGAGGGGTTTCTCCACAGGGCTTTGCAGAGAGGCTGTGTTGCATCGATGCTCGTTGATGTCGAGCAATATGGTCTGTGAACGCAGTACGCGCTGTGTCAGGCTGCCGGGTGCGCACGCGCGGCATCGAAGCCGCATTGCGCGACCTCATTGCGCAGGGTTCGTGCTGTATTGCGCAACCTCATGGCCAGCGTCGTACTGCAGTGACTGCTGCTGAGCGCAGGACTTCACCTTATGTCCAGAATGCTAGCAGCGCTGGCGACGAGACGAGGGGAGGGGACGGGGAGGGGAGGGGGGGGGATGAGTAAAGAGATTGTTGATGGAAGAATCTCAAGAGAGGGGGGGGGGGGGGGGGGGGTGGTGGGGAACTTTTAGACCAATGTGCCGCCAGGGCTCCTTAGCATACTTTTCATGCAAAACCATAAGACTCCCACAAACGACCAGCAAAGCAATCGACCTAACAAAAAAGTAATTTGCACGAAACCATGACACACACAAAGCAAAACAATGCTTCATATTTTTTTAACCATGCATCATCAAAAAGTACATACAGACGCAAACTTGTGATTTTTTACCTTGAAATGTTAAAGTAAAAAACCACAAGTTTTGTAAAAGAACCTGGATAAAAAGGACAACATAGAACCAGACTCATCCTTACCAGAGCTCTCCCTGAAGGAAAAGAACATAGAAATCCTTTCTGCTAAATGGATACCGCTTCGTTTGATGTCTGTTTTTAAGCTGGTGACCTGGATTACCTGAACTTTGGATTACCTGAAACTTCACAATATGTTACAAACAGGCGATTTGTAAACTATTTTAGTAGCACCACAAACGTATTTTATGCGAATGCGGGGGCGAAAAACATTAGGTTTTACATTTCAGGAGAGGATAATACCTATTTGGATTTGAGTTCAGTAAGGTTGTTTGCAACTTTGCAAAATAACGATCGAACAAGACACCATTTCTTACGTCCATTAGGAGGCTTACATGCCTTTATTCAACGATACAGAGCAATAGCAGGAGGTCAAATGGATCGAAATATTGTTGAATACAATAGACACTGTGAGTTGTATGTTAGAGACATGGATGACATAGAGATGTCAGCTAACCCAAGATGGGACGCTGACTTTCATGACTATGCTACAGTAATGGTTTGGATGTATTATTGCAGGCTACTACTGCTGGTGTTACTCCAACCCCCGGTGTAGTAACTGTATCCCCTGACGGTGATAAAAATGAATGGGGTAGAATACATAAAAGATACAGTATACAAGACACTCATTGACAAGAATTTCCGGCGCTAATGGTAAAGCCCGATTCAGCCATAAGCCTGTTTGTGGGTTGATGCAATCAAATTATTATTTACCTTTGAGGTATGCGCCTCTGGAATTAGAATTCACAATTGTTAATGATGAATTGGTACCTATTGTAGAACCACAAGGAGGCGCAGTACGGGAAACCCGAACACTCAAACTGACAAACAGGGGTATTACTTTCCAGCAGCTAACACTTCTACACAGTGGGAATTAAACAATGTTATTATCAGAGCTGAAGTAATGACTTTAGACAACACTGTTAATAACAACATAGTAAAACATTTGTTGGACGGTGAGTCACTAAAACTGGTCTTTCCTATGTATCACACACTGACACAAACCTTCAACACAGGAGGCGGTGAATTGGATATGAACATTGTTAAGTCATCATTCAAACTCACAGGAGCATTCAGTACTTTATACAGAACACCAGGAAATGGAACTATCAATGCTAACTATTTGCCAGACAAATATGTTCATAAGCGATGGAACTACTTTTACAATTCTCAAATTAACTCATTCATCTGGGACAATGGAGCAGTAGCAAATCCTCAAGACCAAGGCAAAGGTTTCCAAGACTATGGTAGAAACTTATAATGGCAAATCCAGTTAGGCAACAAAAAGTATCCAGAGTTTGAGGCACAATCATTATCATGCAGAAACCTTCTACTATTTGCGAGGAGCCATACATTACATGAACCCGGACCAAGATGCATTGATTTTCAGTTACAGGCAATGCAGAGAAAACACATTTATTATTGGTATGTCATTTGAAAAGATGGCTGACGTCAACTTTACTGGAGTTAACACAAAAATGGGTAGTTTAATGACTATGAAAATCCGCCCTACTGAAGGAACTCTAAACACTACACCCAATGATAGCACTAACGCAATTTATGCTGAAGACATTCAAGAGGTTTTTACCCACCTTATTAGCGCAAGCGTGTTAGAAATGTGCGAACGCGGGTCTGTGGTATACGATTAAAACAATGAGTCTACATTATTAATATATTTGTCGAAAACAAAATATATTAATAATGTTTAAGTATCATAAACACAACAACAAAACAGGCACTAAAGCACATCTTCACAAATTTTAATAATTTTTAGTCCATTTGATATGAGAGATACAAGTTACCTGGAGCATTTACACAAGGAACTTAAGTTAAGAAATGCAAGAGAGGGCATGGTAGCATTAAGAAAGGACATGATACAAGCAAATGCTAGGTCAAAGTATCAAAATGAACTGGACAGGTTGAGAGGTGAAGTCCAAAGAGACAACCTACCGCACAACACAAAAGAACACAGCATTAAGCAACCTAAAGGCCTATTTTTTGCATAAATATATTAACATGTTTACCTAACATATTAATATATGGCAACTATGGCATTGGAAATGATAAATCCTTATTCAAAAAATGAATTGAAGAGGCGACCAACATATGATGAAATAGCAGGGTTGATAGGGGAAAATGAAACATTAACTGGAAGCCTTCCAGACAGAAGGGCTACATTTTTTAAAGCAAGTCCTGAAGGTAGCTTCTTTGATGGCATTTGAAGTATTGAAGGAACAAAAAACAGAATACAAGAGAGACAGATGAGAGAACTATTATTGAGACACAATTTAGGAGGTGGAACAGTTCATGTTGAAAGGATGAGGCAACAGAGTAGAGACACAACCCCAATAGAAGCAGAGACGCCAAGAGATGACAACGTTAATAATGCATCCATTCAAGCACAACTACAAGAAAGAGCCAGAATGGCACAGGAGAGAAAACAACAAGGACAAGCACACCAAAGTTTATTAAGTAGGAGCGCCACACCTGTTATTGATATGATATTTGGTGGATTGAGTAGAACAAGTAGCAGAGTAGGAACGCCAATGGCTCAACCGGTGCCACAATTAGCAATTGATTTAACACAAGACAACCAACAAGCAGAAGATGAAGTAGAAATGATGACAGCAAGAGAAGAACGCGAAGCCCCTGAACCCAAACAAGCAGTATTAAGAACCATTAGCTATAGATTAAATGTAGGAACTATGAGCGCAGAAGCATTGAAACTTCA